CAACCGTATTTTCGGGCAGCTCTCAGCAATCCTGGCGGAGAAGAAGGTAGTTCTGCTGAGTGCAAGCTATTGAATACTTCTTTACCAACGTCAAATGGCTGGCTACTCTCGTTCAGATATATCTTCAATTCTCATTCTCCCAACGAAAGGCATGGTTATTTTAATTACAGTGTATGCAAGGATGAAGGTACTGTGCATCCACTACATGTTGTTGAAGGCTGGGCATTGAGACAACACTCATTCAACTGCTCGGATGTAGAGGTATTACATTAAATAAAAATCTAACCCGTTAAAGCCCCTCCGCACTAGTTTGGCATTGGGGTAATAGACCTCCCTGCAAGGTCTCTGGCAGGTGGTTATCTCATCAAATCAGCTCTCAATGAACATAAGAAAAGAGGGCATCATGGGGGGGGGGGGTCAACAGGTACCGCTTAGGCATTGTTGGCTGTATAGAGGCCGCAAGTAAGTATAAGTAGTGCAGTGGGGCTTTAATAGACACCTACTCTAATAGTCAGGTGGCTTAGCGAAATTATCGTTACACGGCGGACAAAAGCGCCATTTTTGGTACAGGGCTTCCTTTCGGCCTACTGAACGATATTAGCCTAGGAGCCCTCGGCAACAAATAATTTAAAGGTGTGGGGGCGGGCGTGTCATTCCGGAGCCCCTAACTAAAATATAAGTTAAAATAACATTGATCTGTTGTTGTACGAATGTAATTTTTGGTACAGGGCTTTTTAGGACCATCTGAACGAGGTTAGGGTTGAAGCCCCCTCAATTTTTTTTTATATAGGTGTAATTTGGGGGGGGCGGGGGCGTCTTACCGGAGCCCCCGTGTTAGATATTAAGCAAATAACTACCGTTGGTGAAGGTGATGGGACAAACTATCACTTCCGAGGCGATATGGATGTAGCTAAGCAAAGTATTATTAAAGTTTTAAAAAAATCAACGTGGGGGCTCCGAAACAACGCCCCGACTCTCTTCACACTTATGTGATTGTTTTGTCGGGAGCTCCTTCCTTAATATCATTCAGTAGGTCCTAAGAGAGCTCTCTACCAATAAAGGCTGTCATATAACCACAAACCAATGTGATATTTCATAATATCTAACACGGGGGTTCTGGTACGACGCCCCCGCCCCCAAATCACACCTATATAAATGTTTTGTTGGTGGCTCCAACCCTAATATCGTTCAGTAGGTCCTAAAAGGCCCTGTACCAGAAATTGCATTTGTGCAAGAAAAAATATCAATGTTGTTTTACCTTATATATTATTTGGGGGCTCCAGGATGACGCCCCCGCCCCACACGCTTATATGAAATTGTTGCCAGGGGGTCCTACCCTAATATCTTTAATTAGGTCCTAATGGAAGCCCTGTACAAAAGCAGGCTGTCGTATAACCACAAACCAATGTGATCTTACATGATATATAATATGGGGGTTCCGGTACGATGCCCCCGCCCCCAAATCCCCCTATATACATTTTTTGTTGGTGGATCCAGCCCTAACATCGTTTAGAAGGTCCTAAAAAGCCCTGTACCAAAAATTACATTCGTACAACAACAAATCAATGTTATTTTACCTTATATATTATTTAGGGGCTCGGGGATGACGCCCCCGCCCCCTACACCTTTAAATCAAATTTTTAACGAGGGCTCCTAGGCTATTATCGTTCAGTAGGTCCCAATGAAGCCCTGTACCAAAAATGGCGCTTTTGTCCGCCGTGTAACGATAATCGATAATTTTGACGCTAAGCCACCTGACTATAAAAGAAAGCAGAGATATCATAAAGAGCAAACTGGTGAAAGTTTGAATAAAATCGTGGAAAAAAGTAATAAATTCTGTTAAAGTTTTATGGGAACTTCAAATTGGCCTACTCGATGATGGAAATTTTTCAAAAATGTATAAATCAGGTGGTCTTTTCATTTTAGAGGACCTATAACAATATGCCATCCATAATATATTTTGAGTAGAGCCTCACTGGAAAAAGAACTTATGAAAAAATAGAAATGTTTTTGTACAAGATAAACGGAAGAGTTGTTCGTGAATAACACACAATTAACTTACCAAATTGCCAAGGTGAAATTCGCATAGATACAGTGTGAAGAGTAATAGAGATTAATGAATAAAGTCATGAGATGATAAATTGATAAACTTTATCTATCAAGATGAAACCATATTGTCGCAATCGAATTTATAAAAAAAAAAGATTATAAGAAAGAAACAAAATCAAAATATATGGGCGGCAATGTATCCTAAACAATCATAACTCCATTATTATTGGTCCGACTTATTTAAAAATTTTGCCAATATTTTCTCTTATTTTTCTGATTCATAGAAATGAACTCATTGCAATGGTTTGATTCTTGTTTACATATAGATTTCTTTCAAAGCAGTTCGAGGATACAATTTCACTAATATAGCAATTGACGATGTTGCTGTAGTCCAACAAGGTATTTGTATTGCAACGTAGTTGTTTTATTTTCTTGTAAATACGGGTTGCACTCGTTTTTCCGAACGTTCCTTTTTTCAATGACGGATTTCAAGATTTCAGTTAACTGGTAAGGGGTCCTAGAGATTGATCAGATAAAGTTCTGAGAAGACATGAATTGTATGTATCAAACAAAAAGAACATATCGTCAAAATTATCTTAGGAAAAGAAACAAGCAAAATTATTTTAACTTCATGGACCACTTTTTATATATACAGGCAGGGGCGATCAATGAAAAGGTGGTACGAGGGGATCCTCCAGTGGCGTATATATCCAAACCTTGTCATTGACAAGGGGAAGGGGTAAACACCTCGAAGATCCGTGTATTTCAGCAAGAACAAAACTCTTTTAAGTTAATTTGTGGGCGTGGGCAGGACAATTTTCCTTGAAGCATATTTTCTTAAATTGTAAAACGTTATGGCTTTGCTATTGTGTGATGTACAACAGCAGTATGCAATCGATTTGTCGAATTTTACGATTCGGCACAGCAAAGGCGCAAACTTGTTGCCATTCTTCTTTTTTATCTGCTTTTTACTCTCACTTTCAGTTATTAATAAATATTTTGTGATAGCTTGACAAAAAAAATCATGTTAACTTTATCATATATATAAATTAGGCTATTGAGGAGACTTTAGTAAAAAAAAAAAAATTAAAAAAAAAAAAAAAAAAAAAACAATGGTAGGCATCACAAACCAACGCCCCCTCCCCTGCCTGAGGTCGATTCGACATTGCCACGTCTGTAGGCAATTGCTTACAAGAAAACTGACTGAAAGACTACCAAAAAAGGGTAGGCAGGCATTTGTTTGCATGGAGGAAATATTCAAGATCCATGCCTTTATCCCTCATCCCCCTCCCCATCCGATTCTGGTACATATTTCCGATGCAACATAACGAACAATGGTTATCATCATTAATATTGCCCACTATACTTCTATGAATGCTCCCACTACTAATATTGTCAATATCCTTGATGAGTACTTTTATAACCATTCGAAAACATCATAATTTGCGTATTTCAATTAGGATACCTCGAACCACGCTTCAACAGATTCAATTTGAGCAGAAACCAGTCTGAAGTTTCTTTGACCAAAAAGATTTCTGGTAGAAGAGTGTCGATTACATTCTCGTGGCAATACCAAGGTGAGCATGATGGAGGAGCTGATCTCCTGGATGTCTTTGCATGTGAGAATAGGAGACATCACTGGACTTCGGATCCGAAACGAGCCCGAAACCAAAGTACATGGTACGAAGAAAATATCAGTTTATCATGTGACTCTACCACTCTAAGTGTAAGTATGTACATGTCATAAGGTTTTAATTTACAAAAATAGGATTTAACTTGTTGTATTTATGCAGGATAGTTTGAAAGGTTTTTTTTTGTATCATTATTATTTTTCTCCTATCTTCTTCTTCTTTTTGTTCTTCTCCTTGTTTTCTTCTTCTTCCTTAAAGTCACGTTATAGGCCAGGAAGATTACATGAGTCAAATCCACTTTTTATTGGGATTGAAGAGGCAAGCAATTGCAGATAAAAGAAAGACAGAGAGATTCAGTGGCGAATCAGAGGTTAGGGGTGCAAAAAAAGAGACAAACCGTGAGCCCTCCCCCCCCCCCCTCCTCTCAAAATATTGTTCTCCCTCTTTCAGCTTCAACACCCCTCCCCCCCACACCCCCACACACATACACACACACAAACTCACAAATCCACAACACACCTCCCTGTCTCTCTTCTCGCTCACACTCACATACACATACACACACGATGACTAAGCATGTTTACTGAATTAGTGAACGATATTACATTTTTGACTGATATCAGGAAATATTTTCACTACTACTACTACTACTACTTCTACTACTTCTAATACTACTACTACTACTACTATATACAACTAATCTACTCTAATCTACTACTATTAATACTACTACTGCTACTTTTTGCTGTTAAATCTGAAAAGGTTCACAGGAACCCAATAAAGCATATGACGGCCGTGCCCTCCCCCACCCCCTTCCCTCTAACTCTTCACGTTTACTTAATTTTCTGAAGACTCTTCATTATTTTGGCTTTTAACAATCGGCCTATATGATATAATTAACCATTTATTTTAATTGAAGAAAAAAAAGCGCTTAAAGATGGTAATAAAACGATAAATGCCAAATCTCAAGTCGGTTTCGGTGTGCCTGAAAAATAAAAAAATTGGGGTTATTGTTAATATTACTGTTTAAGTTTAATAGTCAGATGTATATGATGGAGGTATAAATGGTAGATCTACATAATTATATAGAGAAAATTACAAATGTGCAGTTAATTTCTTGTATTTTCTTGTATTTTTTTTGTGTATATTTTTTCTCAATATTTTTTATTTTTGTTGCCTATTCTTAGGGGAGGTAAACAAGATAGTCAACACGGTCTCATAAACTTTCATGAAATCAACTCAATACAATTTCAATAGCCCAGTGCATCACCAACTGATATGTTTTAAATGGGCGAACATTTCCACGTAAAAGCCACACGTTTAGGCAATACAAGATGCTATACTGACATTTCTCATGCGCTGATTTCTTGAAAGTCTATGCGATTGTGCTAGTTTTTCTTTCGTGATCCAACAGATAATCTTCAAGGCCAAGAGGATTTCTCCTTATATTTCCGTTTTGCTGGATGATATTCGGATCTATGATCTCTCGGGTAAGATATAAATAATAATAATGATAATAATATAGTAATTATAACCATTGTTATCATTTATATTGCGCTTATTGTTAATGTTTCTAAGCACTATGCTTGTAATCAAATATACCATGCACTGAGAGGCTCTAGTTGAAATTATGGATCGAGGTGGCAGAAATAGCACTATTTTCTTGGGGCGTAGCCCCGAAGAAAATAGTGCTATTTCTGTCGCCGAGGAATCCATAATTTCACTAGTGGCTTGAAATAGTGCATGATATATTTGCTTTATATTTTTCAAACTAAATGCTTGGTATATTTGTTTTATAGTACTTCGTTACGATCCGAACGTTTGACTTAATAAATGGCTGACATAATGGTTTTTAACTTTATTCTTATGTCACCCACATTGGGCCGGGTATTGGAGAAGTTTACATTTGTCAATTTAACCTGTGCACAATTATATTAACGCGCATTTAATAAGACGCGCAAATTGCGCATTACTTTTGACTGAACATGATGTCATGTCACAATGCTTATCTACCTTATCTAGACGTCATCCATGGTATAGTTTTATGTTATAGTGCACTATACCATAGATGACGTCAAATATAATATACTATAGTATTAATGACTGCTTTGAGAGAAATAATTGTTTTTGTACGCTCAAGGGAAGGTTAGCATTGTGCTATTGCCCGGGGCGTGCCGAGGGCAATAGCCCAATTGTAACCTTCCCGAGAGCGTATAAAAACAACTATTTCTCGAATATTAAAGCAGTCATTAATACTTTTATATGCCGAAAACAAAAGAGTCAACTAATGACACCACCTTGGCCTTTCTCTAGTTTATCTGCACGGTTGCTTTTTATGAGTGTATCTTTGAGAGTAGACTAGATCTAGATTCTATTCTAAGCAAGATATTTTTACAATTTTGGGGGTGTGCCGGCCCTGTGGGTAATATGGAGAAGAACCTGCGCTTTCATATGACACCTCACTTATTGAGTATCACCTTCAGGATCACAACAGATAAAGGTTTGAATCTCGAATTGATAAAAAAAAACTTGACTTTTTTTGGCATGGTCGCGCAATGCACATAGACTGCATAGAGACTGCATTGCGTGCAATCTCTATGGGAAGAATTTTAACACACAACATCGGGTGCGCGATCAGACACCCTAACTACTAGATCTATTTTCGTCTACGTCTATGCTTTTTCAGCAACTAAACGAACATGTTTATGGATAATTTCACGTACCCTTTTTGTTGTTCTTGCTGTCAGCGAGTCTTGCATTTGATAAGTTGAAATCTTGGGAGAGTTTCTTTAGCCATTTTTGTCTTGTTTGGAATTGTCTTGTCTTGTATGAAAATACCGACCAATTCTTCGCACACGTACGGTATCTTCGATCGCTCAAACCATTTTTAACATGTAAACCTATGGGTAACCATGGTTACTGGGATTTTAGAACTATTTTTTAAAACTATTACATGGGTTTGGAATTTTACCGGGAATTTTACAGGAATAGTTAAAGTTTATGAATGCAATTTCGACCAATCAGATGGTTGGATTTCTTAAGTGAGTTATATAACAAATTTTACTTATCAGTAGCATCATAGCAATGTTATGTTTGGTCACATGATGCTTTGTTAACCAAACACTGAACAGGATTTCATTGATCAAAAATATAATATTTACTAGTGGTAGTAGTAGTAGTAGTAGTAGTAGTAGTATTACAGTTGCTGTTTTTGCTGATGTAGTTATCATTATTACCATCATTATTATTCTTAAATTAATTTGAAGAGAAACACAGATCACATCATTTCACTTCATTTATTTTCATTTATTTTCAGTATATTTTCATACATTAAAAAAGTCAGTATACATCAAAACGTACATGGAGAAGTATAAACTAATAAACTCAGTTTAAACAAAACTGACCAGGGCTCCAAGATAAGCGTAGCTTGATGCCTTGTGAGCCCTGACAAAGTACAAGCAATATACATAAATAAGGGGGTTTCTGGTGATGCAAAAGTACAAGAAAAAGAATAGAAGATTGATGGGTAGAGACTGAAGAGTGTTTGGGAGAGAGAGGGAAATAGACAGAGAGAGAGAGAGAGGGAGAGAGAGATAGAGAAAGGGGAGAGAGAGATAGAGAGAGGGGAGAGAGAGAGAGAGGGGGTGAAGTGAAAAGGAGTTACAGATGATTGCACATATCGTCGCTAATAAAGAATACATTTATATTAATGATAACATAATGTACAACCGTATATACAGAATGTTTAAGTAATTTTATACACCAAAGATATTAGAATGGGATTCAGCCTACCGTACCCTCCCATACACATTTAATGGAAATGAGACTTGTGAACACTACAAAAGCTTTAGTGCCAAACAATTTGTTTGATCCATTGTATACTGTTCATATAAAAGTATAAAATCAATTAGACAATCAATACTAAACGACTTCTCATATTCCTAAATTCTCTCCATGTAAAAGTCTCTGTACAGTCAACATCCAGCTCTGGCAACATTCAAACTTTGTCTTTCACCACTCCTACAACTGCGATATTGTCAACGATAGGAAAAACAAAACTACAGACAGGTTAGTATGAACGATTGTTAAAGGGGAATCACATTTCTAGAAAGTTAAATTTTCTGCTCTTTCATATGGCACCTCAATCAGATGCATTTCCATAATTTGATTAAACGAATTCGTTTTCACTGGCTGCCTGCCGTAGCAAAAAACAGAATTGACAAAAGACTTAATTTCGATTGAAAGACTTCATGAACTCCCTGAGGAAAAAAAAATATGTGAAAAAATACAACAAATATTTAAAGCTATATTCTACTCTCAGCTTTACCGCAAAACCCCTCTAGCGCCGACTCAGATCGGTTAAAGCAGTATGGTGTAATACGCAATTCCCTGCTTCCAAAGCTGCGTAAGTTAGTGGGAATTAGGTATTGGGTAAAAGGTTAAAATGATAAAGGCAGGGTATTTTACCGACATCGCTACCACTGCTGTAATTTGTTTTTATCGATTGCGCCATCTTTCGGTGAATGCGTACAATAGATCGATTTCCGGTTCATGTACAGAAGTATCATCACGCATTTCGTTCTAAATAACGAAGAAAATCAAATTTAATTGAATGTTATGCACAGAGCACCATCGGTTGTTGTATGGGTTTTTCCAGAGTTTGAATGGCAATCCAAAAAAAATAATTCCAAAATGGTGTTTGGGATGTGTAGATGGGCCCATTGTCTATCAATTCTTTCTTGATTTGTTTTCCTTCAGAAGTGGCCAGTACTCTCGTTGTGCGCATACTACTTGCTTTTGTTACATTGTATGGCATCATCATAACATTGATGTACCTGCATCTAAGGTGAGATATAGATCGAGTGGACCTTCAAAAGCCCCCTCCCTCTATCCCCTATAGTGCACCGCTCCACCGTTAAACAAACCCGATAATCACACGGTACGCATAATGATAGTAACATCAATATTAGATAGATAAATAATAAATGATTATGATGAGAATAATAATAATGATAACAATAATACAAATCATACAATGATAATAAGAATGTGAATAATTGTATCAGAGACGCTGATGCTATAACTCGACTATATTATAACTCCCTAATAATTTTTCTTTCCTCCATGTCAGACGCTCTAAAATCGCTCTAAAGCAGTCAGTCAGTGACAGGGAGGGCCAAGAACTCGATCCCTACATGCCCTTAGATGCAACAACTATGGAACAACCAGCGTATGAGGGAATCAAAGCAACTAGACACGGAAAAAGAGGCCACACGAATGCAATCGAGGTGGCAAAATATGGAAATCAAAGAATAGTGGAGCAAACAGCTAGAGTGAAGAATATTGAACACGAGTACGAGTTGCCGATCGAAAAGTGATTCCATGAAGTAGGACACAGAACGAGCTTTAAATACAGTCAAAACTTTTTATTTAAGGTCTCTCAACGGAATAAATGGCCACTCGCTGTAAAACGGTTGCTCCTCTATAGACAGCTTCTACAACACACTGTCTTATCTTTCACAATGGAGACAAATGCATAGCCACTACAGACAGGTGGCCACGAAGACAAGTTTGACTGTATAATATGAGCTCTTTATGAAGTTATAAATGTAGTGAGTTTTTCGAAATATTATGGGCCGTTACTTGATAAATCTGTGTTGATGTTAATGTTGTTGTGTTTTTTTTTTTATTCTATTTAAAGTGAATATGATCATAATAGGTGCGCTAGGCTAGTATTCTATCATGGTTTTGGGTAGGACAGAGATTACAACTGTGAAAAACAAGGATAAGATTAGTTTTATTAAGATTTTGATTGTATATGTGTCATATTACCGTATATAGCCGTAGCAAATGTGAGCTTTAAAGCCATACTGGTTCTAGAAGCACTACTGCAAAATCCCATCTAGCGCCATCTCATGTCAGCTGTAGCAGTATGGTCTCGTAACTCGATGCTTCATTATGCCTAGGTCACAATTAAACGGCGACGAGTTCACGATAGGTTCAGGGTGTGTTTTGGGGGCCCTTTTTGGCCGGTGACCCTGGGTTGACCAGAAGGCTGCCCGGCTGTTTTTGCTGATCGGGAACACGCTCGAAAATGTTTAAAGGGATAGTTAAGTTCCGTTTTTTAGACCGCAAACGCCTTCAAAGTGCATGGTTTTCTAAGGAATTCTAACTGGAACACAGGATGAGCAATCATGTCACTGGCGTCTGTAGAGGTTTTTGGTATTCACAAGACTCATTTTGCGTAAGAAAATGAAATAAGAAATGTAATGCCAAATACAATAATTGTAGCTAAGAATGACTTTTCACTCAATGATTATGAAACTTTAAGAAACTTAATGTATATTAATGCTTGTAAATTTGTCATTAAAGCCAATAGGGTGCATTCACAATTAACTTAATGTATATCAATGCTTGTAAATTTGTCATTAAAGCCAATAGGGTGCATTCACAATTAACAGCACCTCCATCGGCTAGCCGCGCCAGGCCGATTTTTCATCTTTCATCCAGTGACTGAAGCGGTCCGAACTATGTTATTTCATCCAATGAGATTCATTGTTCTGATATCAGCGCATTTTTAAAATTGAATCTGGATGTACAAAACCACAGATCAATTGACTGTGACTGATAAAAAAAAATGCCTATTTTAGAGAAAAAATTGATACAAATGGTAATTTCGGTCCCTTTATTGCTGTTGAAGGGGGTCGATTTGCCCACTTTTTCGAGCATCAGGACACAATTTTACATAGAGTTGCCAAATCTCCTTTGCTCATAGTAACGATTGAAAATATTAACCTTGATAAAAAAAAAATATTTAAAAAAAGGAAAAGACCATATATTGGTCAGTTTGGGCCAAAAATTGCCAAAATAGCCCACACATTGAGAGTATGGTCTATAAGACTGACATTTGTATAAGCAGCCCCATATAAGCTATTCAAACCTTCCCCATCGAAAATTCTGTTAAATCCCCTAGTCTCCTAGGGTGTATAAAAAAGCACCAGTTTATACGATGTTGACTTTTTCCCAAGATGCATCACGTCAAAACTCTTTAAAAAAATAATAAGCACTGGTAACGCTAGATGGCGTTAGAGATTTTGAATCCACCATTTTATTGCACTATGAATAGTTTCAGCACTATAGGCAACTTTATCCATTTCACCTGTATATATTTCTAATATTTGGACAAATAAAAGCATCTCTTCTTTTTTTACAAATCTTAAACCAATAAGAACGAGCATTCCTTTGTTAAACCCCGTCTGTAATGTTTCCACATTCACCAATATACATGTCACTTCAGAAATAGAATGCAGCGAAAAAGTAAAAATAAAGCTTGTCAAATGTATTATGCCAGTTTTGTGGTGTATGGCATCCATTTGTTATCATTGAAACTTCTATTTTCTTATTCAAAGTCATTTTCTTTATTATTACTATTGTTATTAGTATCATTATTATCATTATCATTATCATTACAATACTTTACCATCGTAATGTTTATCATTACCATCAATGTTGTTGTTGTTTATGAAAACATAGACGCATGCGAATACAGCAAACAAGTCAGGAAAAGAAAGGACAACCCAGATTACATTACGTTCAAATTCATATATTCGTATATATATATTTATATATACAGTGCGTCCTAGAAAAAAGCGAAACCGAGAATTATCGATGTTTTATCATAACTTAGTCACAATTATAATGAATAAATGACACATATTTGGAAAGCTTATTGATGCAACTCATATGATTCATATCTCACGCATGAGTGCTTAAAAGCAATTTGAAGAGAGGAAACCAAAAAGTCATTTGGCGGGCGGTATCTGAATTTCAAGGAGAAAATCACATTTCTAGAAAGTTCAATTTCTTCTCTTTCATATGACACATCAATCAGGTAAAAGGAGCCAGGAATATCAAAGTTCTTTTTGTTTAAAGTAATGCTTGCATTTCCATATTTTGATCAAACGAGTTAGTTTTCACTGGCTGCCTGCCGTAGCAACTAACAGAGTTGACAAAAGACTTAACTCCGTTTCGTTGAAGATCAGCCATGCATCAGGTCTTTCGTCTTCTTTTTGCATGGCTGATCGTCAACGAAACGGAGTTAAGTCTTGTGTCAACTCTGTTATTGGTACGGCAGGCAGCCAGTTAAAACGAACTCGTTTGATCAAATTATGAAATGCAAGCATTATTTTAAACAAACATTACTTTGTTATTCCTGGCTCATTTTTCCTGATTGAGGTGTCATATGAAAGGATAGAAATTGAACTGACTAGAAATGTGATTTTGTCCTTGAAAATCAGATACCGCCCGCCAAATGACTTTTTGGTTTCCTCTCTTCAAATTGCTGTTAATCACTCATGCGTGAAATATCGACCGGCGTAATTTTCAAGTTTCCCCATTGATTTCAAATTTTGGCCCCCCCCCCCTCAAGAAATCCTGGATCCGCTCCTGGAATAACATTTGGACATCAAAAAGCATAGTAGCCACACGAAGGTGCAACTGTATCAATCACTCGTCCTCTCAATACTGCTTTATGGGGCAGAATCCGGGACAGTTAGAAAAGAAGATAGCAACAGGCTTCAAGTGTTCGAAATGGCATGCCTCCGTCGCATAATGGGGGTGAAAAGACTAGACAATATCCGAAACACACACATCAAAGAATCCCTCAACCTCGATCAAGATTTTATAGACAAAGTCTCCACTAAAAGACTTAAATATTTTGGCCATGTCCTAGGAATGAAACCCACAAGATACCCCCAAAATTACTGTTGAAAGAAATGTCACAGGAAATCGACCCAGAGGCCGTCCACACAAAAGACGGCTTGACTGCATCTGAGAGGACTGCAAAGCAAGATACATAACAAGGCTGACAGATGCACAGGCTCGTAAGCAGGGGGGGGTTGGATGTTAAACCCCCCCCCCCCCCCCTTGAGTTTTTTTTTATGCGTATGTTTTATGTATGCTTATTCGGAAACCCCCACCCCCCCCCCTAGAGTTTTTATTTTTTTTTTTTTTTTTAAATAAATTTAAGATAAAAAAATTGCCAATGGTTCCCATAAAAAAGGTAACCTTACCCCCCCCCCCCCCCAACGGGACAAAATGTCAAATTTTGAAATTTCGACACCAAAAAAAAAATAAAAAAATCCTTCTCTGCGTGGACGGCATGAGTCAAGTCAAGAATATGAAATGTGATAGGTTGCAAGTGAGGTTCCTCGGAACCTTATTCTGGTTAGATACATCTCAAGTGGATGAAACTTCCCAGCGTTTCCTGTATTGGCACGCCTTTATCAAAGCAAACGGATATCTAAATAGAGAAATTATTATTTGACCACGCAAAAGCTAAATATTTTTTTTAGTAGGAGCAGTTTTATTTAATTTCCTTGTTGTAAGCTTCGTGCAATGAAACCTGGATAAGATTTTATAGTTATTTGATAAACATTAAATTACCATCGATTAAGTAAGTGCGGAAAAAGCTTTTTGAAGTATTCTCTTTGATCGTTAGATTACCTTTTATGGACAATGTTTGGATTTTCTTTTTTGATCTTTTATGGCGTTTTGGCATTGATGAACATCTCATCAGCCAAAGATCCACGTAAGTATAGCATTTGTGTTCTTCTGTGGGTTTTTTAAAATCTGATACTTAGAGTACGTGTTGTTGAATAATTAGACCGTTCCACCGCACAGTGAATAGTTTAATTATTTATCTACAACAATGAGACTCTCAATGTGACACACCTGAATAATGATACAAACGACAAAAGAAAAAAGGACTAAATATTAAATAAAAACTTTGTTGTGCACTTTGTAATCTGACAAAGGCCTTGCATCAAGTATTCAATGTACAATAAAGTATGAAAAATATTGTAACGCAGAAGATAGATCACCACACTGTATTTTAACAAAGACGCCAGATTGCGTCAGCGACCATTACGGCCTGACGCGTCTTGTAAGAGAATACCAAATGGACAGTCCAACATTGCTTTGAACATAGGCTTTGAATTACCGGCGTACAAAACAAAAAATGAAAAAAAGAGGTTAGATCAAAGTGTGTGTCAGGCAGCTATCAGATGAATGTGCTTCGTTTAATAAGTTAACTTGTAATTTGAACAATTAGTCAATCCGTTGTGCTCTCAATGCTCTTCATCTTGCAGCATGTTAAGAACGTACTTCCCAAACCAAAAAATCAGAGGAAACGAAGAAAATAGAAATGCGATAGGTAGTAAAACAAATGTCCGGAAACACTCGACTGGTATCGATAAACACGATCTTCCTGTGTGGAGTGAGTCTGCTATAATTTTCGATTCTTTCTCATTTTCCCCAGCGTTTCCTGTATTGGCACGCCTTGATCAAAGCAAACGTGTATTCAAACTGACGGAATTCTAAACAGAGACATGTATACTTGACCACTCAAAATACGTCCTTACGCTTTTCAGTAAAAGTTGGAGAGGTTCCTGGAGTAGAAGCATTTTTGTTAAATATCCTTGTTGTAAGCTTTGTGCTATATGAATCCTGGATAAGATTTTACAGATATTTGATAAGCATTACATGATCGTCGATTTAGTAGGTGTGTAGAGAGCTTTCTGAAGTATTCTCTTTGATCGTGAGATTACCTTTTATGAACAATGTTTGGATTTTCTTTTTTGATCTTTTATGGCGTTTTGGCAATAATGAACATCTCATCGGCTCAAGATCCACGTAAGTATAGTATTTGTGTTTTTCTATGGGTATTTTAAAAGTTTTAAAAGATGCCGGTGGCTTTTGATTTGGTCAATGTTAAATGTCTTCTTGAATAGGGATCAACGGGACGCCACTCACGAAAACCACCTTTCAGATCGGAGAATTGTAACTTGTATCTATATAGGCAACTGTATTTTCGAAGAACCACCTATTGAGCTCGGGGTACCCCAATGATCTATTTTGGGTTCATTGTTATGGATGCTGGAGTGGAATAAAACTGCAAGAGTGCACCAGAATGGCTGAAGATAGAGTGAAATGAAGAAATGTCGCAATCAACCTCCGAACCGGGAGAAGATACTTAGATAGATAGATAGTTATTACTTTTCATCAACGATTTACCCTTAGTATTTCATTCATGCACACTTTATTTGTACGCAGTTGACACCGTGATTTACTTTTCTCATGAAGACCCATATACAGTTTAAATTTCAATTAACCCTTAATTGGGAATTGGTCAACCTGGACGAGTGGATAAGCAGAAATAGACTGAAGGTTAATTATGACAAAACCATGAGCATACTAATTGAGAAAAACACGTGCTCAAAATGTGTAACCAAGACTTAATATAAGTATCAACGATCATGTAATCAATCAAGTAGGATTGTTGAAATACTTGGGTGTGTAGATTGATGCAGAACTGAAGTGGGATGTACATGTAAATCACCTTTGTAAAAAAGTTGGTCACGTGGTTTCATTTCTCTTTCGTTGTGGGAAATGCATGAATAGAAGAAATTTAAACGCATATACAAAACTGTTTATTCTACCCCATCTAGATGATGCGAACATTATATCGCAGTCTTCCTATGAAAAAATACATTAATCAATTACAAAAGCTACAAAATAGAGCAGGAAGAACTATTTCGAAAATAAAGCCTCAATTACATGTTTCTGTTTCTTCAATGCATGAGATAATGCGGTGGAAGTCTTTCATATTGCTCCGGTTGTCTCATTTTTGCTCGCTAGACGTATATAGCAGACGGCAATCGGCGGAATAGACGACACTTGGTAGTGAATTTGTATGTGAGATTGCTTTGCTAAATATAAAATACAAGAACTTTTTCCGGATCTTTAAACTATCATTGATATCTGATAATTAAACAGTTATTAAAATAAACCTACCAAACTACATAATACAATGAAATACTTGACTTAAAGTAGGGGAGTTTGATGTGGTGCACAATTGCACCCCTCTGTAAATAATCGAATAGTCTATGGCGATCACGAATATTCATGTTTTTGCTTACCTCTGCAAAATGCTTGCCTATACTAAATGGAAAAATTACGGTGGGGGTTGGTTGAAATGGACATAATGAACCGATCAGAACTGATCTATGATAATTCATGCTTGTTATTCTTCGTGTGCTTGACCTATAAACTTACGATCGCGTTGCAAATTGCGTCCAAAGTTCGACTTGTTTCACATGTGTTATATAGGCAATGGCTAGCTAGCGAACTATTTTGAACAAATTACGGTGGGTGAACTTTCAAAAGTCAATGGGACATGAGAGTTCCAATAAAAAACTAGTGTCAACGAACGTCGTGGTGGATGTGCTTTTCGTTTAAACAAAAGTGAATTGTTAATTTTTTTTATTTTATTTTTTTTTGGGGGGGGGGGTAAAAGTCAGCAGGCTAACATGTTAGGCTGCTGGACTCTGACGATAGGGGACGTTTTCCAATGAGACTATTCGGAGCCATATGAAAATCTTGCCAGATATTAGGGTAATGATGTTCAAAGTCCTCAATAACATGACACCAAATTATTTAACTGTACACATATTTTATACCCCAATGCCTTATTAGCTACGATACAGTAATCTTTCCCTTCCAACACCCCGAACAAACAACAGCAAACGCGCTTTTTTGTCTACAGGTGGCTAAGTTACACAGCAGCACTCGCCAACCTACTCTGAATTGCACATCTCTGTCTTTATTCAAACGATTTATTTCACAATTAAATTAATTAATGCTATAAGACCTTAATTTAATTTTGTTTTGTTGTTCTTTACATACCATTATTCTTGTTGTTTTGGTTTGTGTTGTTCTGCCCCCCCCCCCCCCCCATCCTTCTTCTTTTCCCACTATTTCGTCTTTTCCTGTCTGGTTCCCATGGAACACCAGCTGCACTATACAAGTACAGCTGAAAATTGGCCATCCAGCCGTCTGTTTCCTCTTTTTGCTTATTTCGTTTTTACATTCTTATTGTACGTTTATAATGTTGTTGATGTCATTTTTTCTTGAATTTAATGTCATGAGATCTTTTTGTCTTGCTTATGTAAACTGTATATTATGCATACAATACTAGATTTTTTTGTTATTCTTCTTTTGTTACTTTCTTTTCATTGTGATTTTTTTTTATGCCGGAAATAAAATCGAAATAAAAAGGAATCGAAACTATAAAATTGACTATGGCTGTTGCAGGAAATGTAAGGAAAACGCTCTTTAAAATTCAAGTGACTGCTTTCCATAACGATTTTGCCACTCTTTTGTTGCGTACTTCTTATAAAGAGATGGATTACCGAACTTCGTGATTCCTATAAAAAAAAAGGATAGATTATAATACAATTTTTTTTATCAGGCATTTCTGTCTCGGAGGAGAGCAACTGGTCAATGTTATGACCTCAATAAACAACTACATGCAAAGCGCTGGAATATCAAATCAGATTCTGTAAAGATACAATCTTGCAAAAATAATTTCAAATCTTTATAGACAACAATTTTAAATAAGCATGTAGCAATCAATTTGCCCATCCCTTACACCCACTCCCAGCCCTCCAGCATCAATAAAACCGATTATAAAGTCAAATCGACCATGGCTACTGCAGGAAATGAAAGGAAAAACGCTCTTCAGAATTCATCTGTTGCATACTGTCTACTTATAAACAGATTAATTACCTAACTTCATGTATTGATTTTTTTATTTATAACCTACTTTGATTCTTCTGTTACATTCTTTTTTGTATATTGATGAAGGTCCAAATATTGTAACTTCCATTTAAAAAGGATTTATGTTCAAATCCTCAATAACATGACACCAAATTATTTAACTGAACACATATTTCATACCCCAATGCCTTATTAGCTACGATACAGTAATCTTTCCCTTCCAACACCCCGAAAAAAACAACTGCAAACGCGCTTTTTTTTCTACAGGTGGCTAAGTTACAGAGCAGCACTCCCCAACCTACTCGCAATTGCACATCTCTATCTTTATTCAAATGATCTTTTTTTCACGACAAGTCTAATTTATGATATAATACCTTAAAATATTTTTTTTGTCCTGCTTTAAATACCATTATTCTTGTTGTTTTGCTTCGTGTTGCTCTGCCCCCACCCCCAATCCATCTTCCTTTTCCACTACTTCTTCTTTTCCTTTCTGGTCTCCATGGAAGACTAGCTGCACTATACAAGTGCAGCTTAAAGTGGGTCATCTGTCTGTTTCCTCTGTCTTTTTGCTTATTTCGTTTTACATTCTTATTGTACGTTTATAATGTTGTTCATGTCTTTTTTTCTTTAATATAATGCCATGTGATCTTTTTTGTCTTGCTAATGTAAACTGTATATTATGCATACCTTTATAGATTTTTTGTTATTCTTCTTTTGTTACTTTCTTTTCATTGTGATTTTTTTTTTATGCCGGAAATAAAATCGAAATAAAAAGGAATCGAAACTATAAAATTGACTATGGCTGTTGCAGGAAATGTAAGGAAAACGCTCTTTAAAATTCAAGTGACTGCTTTCCATAACGATTGTGCCACTCTTTTGTTGCGTACTTCTTATAAAGAGATGGATTACCGAACTTCGTGATTCCTATAAAAAAAAAGGATAGATTATAATTCAATTTTTTTTATCAGGCATTTCTGTCTCGGAGGAGAGCAACTAGTCAATGTTATGACCTCAACAAACAACTACATGCAAAGCACTTGAATATAAAATCAGATTCTGTAAAAATACAAGTCTTGCAAAAATAATTTCAAATCTTTATAGACAACAATTTTAAATAAGCATGTAGCAATCAATTTAACCATCCCTTACACCCACTCCCAGCCCTCCAGCATCAATAAAACCGACTATAAAGTAAAATCGACCATGGCTACTGCAGGAAATGAAAGGAAAAGCGCTCTTCAGAATTCATATGTTGCCTACTGTCTACTTATAAACAGATTAATTACCTAACTTCATGTATACTTATGTAAAAATGATAGCTTGTAATTGATTTTTTGATTTATAACCTACTTTGATTCTTCTGTTACATTCTTTTTTGTATATTGATGATGGTCCAAATATTGTAACTTCCATTTAAAAAGTATTTATGTTCAAAATCCTCAATAACATGACACCAAATTATTTAACTGAACACATATTTTATACCCCAATGCCTTATTAGCTACGATACAGTAATCTTTCCCTTCCAACACCCCGAAAAAACAACTGCAAACGCGCTTTTTTTGTCTACAGGTGGCTAAGCTATACAACAGCATTCCCCAACCTACTCGCAATTGCACATCTCTGTCTTTATTCAAACGATTTCTTTCACAATTAAATTAATTAATGCTATAAGATCTTAATGTAATTTTATTGTGTTTTTCTTTACATACCATTATTCTTGTTGTTTGGATTTGTGTTGTTCTGCCCCCCCCCCCCCCACATCCTTCTTCCTTTCCTTCTTCTTTTCCTGTCTGGTTCCTATGGAACACCAGCTGCACTATACAAGTGCAAGCTGAAAATTGGCCATCCAGCCGTCTGTTTCCTCTTTTTGCTTATTTCGTTTTTACATTCTTATTGTACGTTTATAATGTTGTTGATGTCATTTTTTCTTCAATTTAATGTCATGTGATCTTTTTGTCTTGCTTATGTAAACTGTATATTATGCATACATTAATAGATTTTGTTTGTTTTTTTTTCTTTTGTTACTTTCTTTTCATTGTGAATTTTTGTTTTTAGGACGGAAATAAAAACGA